TGCTGCACCCTCCTCAGCTCTCCGGGTGCTGTGACTGTATAATACTTGACCCCAAGAAATACAGGCGAACGCTGTAGCCAAGTCGATACCGGGAAGATTTGGATGAGAAACCAGGGAAAGTCCAACAAAAATTAGTACTTTACATTGTTAGTGAAACCCTTAACCTTCTCACCTGTGACCAGGACAGATTTTTCTCCTTACGGTCTGAGAACATTTTACCAGAATCAGGATCTAGTTTGAGTTCCTGAAGTTTTTTTCATTTTGTTTTGTTTTGTTTTTTCACTTTTAGTATAATTGAGATCGCCTATACGTCATTAAATGTCGCAAATCCAATACTATTATTTTATGAATAATCATATTCTTTGTTTTTGTTTTCATCACCAGCCACTTTTAATCTTCGTTAATGACTATGAATAAAGCCCATAGGCTTTATTCAATTTCATAAAAATTGATAAGAATAAAATATTTTAAGATTCAAATCAGTTCTTCATGACCAAATGTTATCTAAGTAATTTTTTCTTATAATTGTTTTCTTTATTTGTATTACATAGAGTACAGAACAGTTGGGAATGTTTGCTGACCTCCTCCTGTTAGCTGACCAAAAGGGCACCCTTCTCAAATGATTTTGTAATCCCCAATGTGCTCGGATTTGAAAATGTATCGCCTTTAGAATGTTTGCAAACCTTTCAGTGGCTTTATCAAAAAAAAAAAAAAACTGTACCATTTAAATGTTTAATTTTTATTAAAATAGAATGTAAGACATTGCAGACGATCCAAGGAAGATAGAGGAAATCTATCTAAAATGTCAACACTCCCTTTCCTTTGGGAATTGTATGCATATTTGTCCACGTTTTTAGGTAATTTTCATAATAGAACACATAAAGGAGATAGGGCTTTTTAAACGTAACATGTCACAAGCGTTTCTGGTTTAAAAGCGCTGCGCTCGGACATCCCGTGGCAAGCGTGTGATCCTGAAAACAAGCTGTTTTGTTCGCTCCTTGCCTGGTTAGCACAGACGATGGGACCACGGGACAGCACTGATGAGGGGCAGCGTTTCAATTTCTAGGTAGGTCAGTTAGCTTTACTCTGTTCCGTGGTCACAAGCGGGGGACTAAAGGACTTAGAGAGAAAATGTGGGTGCATCACTGTGACTGCATCCCCTCTTCTGGGAAAACCACCACACCACACGAAGTGTAATGCTGTGTAGCTTTTATCTCCCTAACAGGACCTAGTGAGGACTGTCTCCCCCCAGGCTGATCGCCTGCCCGAAATGATGGCAAGCCTGGGGGAGATGCGGGGGGGGGGGAGACGTCGGGGGAGGCCTAGGCATGTTTTCATTGCGCTGCGAAATCATTTAACAAATTACTGCTGTTCTGTAAATTACTGCACCACGTAACTTTCATACTGAGAAGCCATTTCCTTGGGCCATAAAAACTGCAGATAAAAAAAATTTCCACAATAAATAACCTGTATTTCCAATACACCGATTCCTAGAATCTCGAGAACGCCATCCACGGTTTCTCAGATGGGAAGATACACAAATACGTTTTTACAGCCGGTGCTAATAAATGACACAGTCTCTGTTCAGGTCGGATTTTTCCCATAATGTGTTCACTTTGCGGCCCTTTGAGACGATGCATAAAGGCTTCTGAGTGAAAAATCACACGCTAGTTACTTGTTTTTTGAAAGGAAAAGGGCGCATTTTGGACATCAGAGAACTTTAAGCCTAAAGTTTCTGTCTGGAAGAGAACCCCACGATCAGCAACCAGCCTAAATAGAACAAGGCATTGGAGGCGGTTTTGATGGGACCACGTCCTGTGTGGATGTCGGGCTGAAGGGCGGCAAATGAGTCATTTCCGTTTCGAGTTGAGGTGATAGGCCGCAGTGTAATCTGGGGACATGGGTCCTTGTCCTGCCAGCGCTCGGAGGGTCACACTCCAAGGACAGTGGTCGATGGGATGCAGCAGAAAGCACAGGGTGAGCTCCAGTCTTTTCCAGAGACACGGGTAATGGAGCAGAGACCGGGCTCATCTCTTAGTGGCTATAAGACAGACGGGGGGCCCTGGCCGGTTTGGCTCAGCGGTTAGAGTGTCGGCCTGCGGTCCGGAGAGACCCGGGTTCGGTTCCCGCTAAGGGCATGTACTTCGGTTGCAGTTTGTCCCTGGCCCTGGTTGGTCGTGCGGGTGGCAGCCACTCGATGTGTCCCTTTCACATCGATGTTTCTCTCTCTCTCTCTCTCTCTCTCTCTCTCTCTCCCTCCCACTCTCTCCCTCCCACTCTCTCTGTACAAAAAAATGGAAAAAAATATCCTCGGGTGAGGATCAAAAGAAAAAAAAAAAAAGACAGATGGGGGGAGGGGCATCCTCAGAAATGAGGCCCGATTTCAGAGCTGCCTCCCACCCCAAACAGGGGCTCGGAAACAAAAGTGAAACCGATCCTTCTACAGGAGAATGAGTATTAAATAGACTTCCCCCAACCTGATGGTTGTTATGACTCAGAAAGAGAGGATGCTTTCTGCTAGCTGAACTTTAAAAAATAACACTTACAAGAGGTGCGTTGTTTTTTTTTTTTAAATCTTCACCCGAGGACATTTTTCAATATTTCGTTCAGATAGAGTGGGAGGGGGAGAGAGAGAAACATCGACGTGAAGGGACACATCGAGTGGCTGCCACCCACACGACCCAACCAGGGCCGGGGACAAACTGCAACTGAGGTATGTGCCCTTAGCGGGAACCAAACCCAGGTCTCTCCGGACCGCAGGCTGATGCTCTAACCACTGAGCCAAACCGGCCAGGGCAAGAGGTGCATATTAAAAGTAAAGCACCTTATACCTAGGACCAGCTATAACATGACGGGATGGCAATGACTGATCATCGGACCCACAGTTACAGTTGTGGCAAAGCTGGAGGAAATTCGGGAAACGGCTTCTTTGTTGCAAGTAAAGACTTTGAGGAAAAGGCCACACGGCTGTTATGTTTCATTCTGAAGATGAGTAGCGTTGAGAGAAATGATATTTATCATTGTTTCCAGCCTTCTCGACCTGTGTTCCTTATCGAAACTACAGAATACCAAAAATAATTTCAGTAATTCTTTTTTCAATTCTTTTTTCAAATCAGTTACAAACTGATAACATTGTAGATACACTGAAGCGGGAGAGGTTAACTCATTACCTATAAGGCTCCAGGGCTCAATTCTCCCGTGTAACAGAGGTTGATACAAGTGGACACGCAGTGCACCATAGACTAAGTCGGCGAGATATCTGGAGCCCAGAAAATGCATTTAGAACCCAGATGTGTCGACAAGATAAAGGGTGGATTTCCTATAGATAAATTGCTTAGCATTATAAGAGCCTGTTGAGGAAAATTGCCGTTTCCTTCCCCCAAGGGTTTTGAAGGTAGGACTGACTTTCTTCGGACGGGAAGGGGATGACGTACGTAGCATCTGACGGCGGAGGTCTTGTCCCACCTGAAGAGTATTGCTTGGTTCCCCGGGTTTGGCTCTTCAAATGTCCCAAGTGGGGAAAGTCCCGAGGCTGTATGGGGAAGGAACATGCTGATATACCTAAGAGCTGGTGGGCTAAGACCCATCTCCTCTCTGAGAACCCCATCTAATGATGCAGAGAGACCCCACTTACTGGTGTCGGGGGAGGGAAAGAAACAAAAAGTAACAAAAAGAATGCAGATACGGAGGAATTCTCGAGAACAGTAACACTTCATAGGGCTACTTAGTTTCTTTAGACCTATCTTTTGTTACATCTCTAATGTTAATATGTTTCTGAAAAGATGCCAGTTGAATAGAGAATACTGCCCTGATGACAGTTACCAGTAGGATCATAAGTACTTGTTCTTCAAACAATTACTACACACAAAGATCTAGGAGACACACTAAATAAGGCAGACTCCGTAGAAATGGTGGTCGTTTACCACCTAAAAGCAACCTGGTTTCTAGGGCTGTTTTCCTGATGAATGCACAGGTAGAAAAATCCTGAATACTCTAAGTATTTTTTAAAATCAATATAGTCTTTCTCTTTTTTTTTTTTTTTTTCTTTTTTTTTTTAATCCTCACCCGAGGACATTTTTGCATTTTTTGTTCAGACAGAGCGGGAGGGAGAGAGAGGAAGAGAGAGAGAGAGAGAAACATCGACGTGAAGGGACACATCGAGTGGTTACCACCCGCACGACCAACCAGGGCCGGGGACAAACTGCAACCGAGGTACGTGCCCTTAGCGGGAACCGAACCCGGGTCTCTCTGTACCGCAGGCCGACGCTCTAACCGCTGAGCCAAACCGGCCAGGGCAGTCTTTCTCTTTTAATTAAAGTTGACATGCAGTATTATTTTGTACAAGTTTTGGGTGCACATCATAGTCCGACAATCGGCTCCTTTACAAAGCGCTCCCCCTGGTATTCCAGCACCCACCTGGCCACGTACACAGCTATTACAATATCATGGGCTATATTTCCTGAGCTGTACTTGCCATCTCTGTGACTATTTTGAATACGCTAAGTTTTATGAGTTAAATTCCAAGCAACTGAAGTCCTGCTCTACCTTGTTGCCCACAGGGATCTTTCATTCATTAATCCACATTATCATGATGCTAGAATTGTTCACAAAGATCACCATTAATGTGGGCTGTACATTTAAACGACAAGTGACTTTTTTCTGATGTGACTTTAAGGAGTATTTGGACAAGGCGCCCGTCACCCTGTGGATACAATCTGCTTTCTTTGGCAACGTGTTATCAATGTAAAATGTGGGACCATACCGATCTTTGCTTATGAATTCCATGCAGCTGTACAGGAGCAGCAAACTTTGTCTTCTAAGAAAACAGTGGCTTGACTATTTGAGTGTAAACACCTCTTTTTGCAAGGAACAAACACATCGTTTACTTGCAGAAGTCTCCACTGTACGAAGTCAAGGTTGGAGAGATGCAATCGCTCAAAGATGAATGGGGACGTGAATAAAACTGCTTGGCTCTGCCTAACTGCTGTCCTCTCTCCCAGGTCCAGCTCTCCAGGTCGATGAATCTGTGCCCCTGTCCTCAAGTCCAGACAGCTCCTTAAATAAGCCACCGCTAGATGACTGCCCAAGGGACTCGGGTTGTTATATCTCATCCGAAAACTCAGATAATGGCAAAGAGGATCCGGAGTCTGAAAACCTGTCTGACATGGTACAGAAGATTTCTATCACGGACACGGCGGCACCGCACTGACCTCTCCTCGGGCCGAGGGATCCGACAGGAGAGCAAGAAGAATTTGCAGATACAACCGAAAGTTAAGATGTTTTCATCTCCATACTTGTACATAAAAGTTGATAGTCTAACACTCCCAGTTATTGTAAAGACTGTGTATATTTATTACTTTAAATGCTACATGTTAATATTTCACGTGTGTGTATAAGAAAGGGTCTCATCTAAATCTTTGGTATTTTGGGGGGGGGGTTTATTTTGTAAGTGTAAAATGATAAATTCTGCAAAAACTAAATAAAAATAAAAATAAACCACCTCTTTTCCTCCTACCTGCTAGCTTTGAATTTGTGTCTATTGGTGAAGAGAGAGTCCTGGAGTCTGTGTCTGGGTGACCAGTTGTCCAAGTGGAATTTAAACATTTACACTGGCCCTGGCCGGTGTGGGTCAGCGGTTAGAGCGCCAGCCTGTGGTCCACAGAGACCCAGGTTCGGTTCCCGCTAAGGGCACATATCTCGGTTGCAGTTTGTCCCCGGCCCTGGTTGGGTCGTGTGGGTGGCAGCCACTCGATGTGTCTTTTTCATGGACACGTCGATGTTTCTCTCTCTCTCTCTCTCTCTCTCTCTCGCTCTCGCTCTCTCTCTCTCGCTCTCTCGCTCTCTTCCTCTTTCTCTCCCTCCCACTCTACCTGAACAAAAAATGAAAAAAAATGTCCTTGGGTGAGGATAAAAAATAAATAAATATATAAGCATTTACACTTGCTTTTATTTTTTTATTATTATTATTATTTTGGGACGTGCCCCTAGCGGGGACCGAACCCGGGACTCTCTGGACCGCAGGCCAGCGCTCCAACCGCTGAGCCAAACTGGCCAGGGCCACACTTGTTTTTAAATGGGACCAGAAAAGTGCGAGTCAGTGTTGGAGACATTTCATCCTCGTCCACAGTGGAGTTCAGTCCTTGTTCGTTGATTTCATCACTGTTACCTGGAATACAGTGCAGACAACACATTGTCCATTCTGATGCAGTCAAACCAATTGTAATGGTCGTGCGGCTGCTTCACCTTAAGTGTAAATGTGTTTCATTTTGAAATGCCCTGACTTTAAAAAATCAAAAGGACTCGGTGCACGTGCTATTTTCCAGACTAGTGTTCCTTAACGTGTTTTCACCGTAGACATTCTGACACAATCTCTCCCCCCGGACCAGGCTTCATCTTCAGTCCTCACTTTTTGTCGTGCGCGTACTGATGACTCCCAAGCTCATCACCTCGTCTCAGTCTGTCTCCCGAGCCCCCGATGTGTTCACTACCTGACTTCCGAATCCCTCTGCGTGCGAGTCGGCGTGGGCTGCCGGAACACAGTGCCACAGGCTGCGTGGCTTGATTTGCTCACAGTTCTAGAACCTGGAAGTCCAAGGTGGGGGCGCCAGCGTGGCTGGGCTGCCGAGAGCCCTCTTCCTGGCTGAGAGACACCCCCTTCTTCCTGTGCGCTCACTGGGCAGAGAGACAGGGAGCTTCCTGGGGACTCTTCTTAGAAGGACACTAATCCCATCACCAAGGCCCATCTTCATGAAGATTATGTCCCGAAGGCCCCATCTCTAAACACCCTACGTTGGGGATGAGAGCCTCGATATAGAAATCTCAGGGGTGGGCATAGTTTGGTCCATAGCACTTTTTTTTTTATAATTGTTTTTATTAAGTTATTTTTGTTGCAGATGTTTCTCCTTTTTTCCCCCATTGACACCCTCCTCCCAAGCCCCCCACCCCGTCCCCAGCGTTGTTGCCCATGTCCATTGGTTACACATGCATGTGTAGAAGTCCTGTGGTCTGTCCTCCACCCCCGACCCCGAAGTCCCTTGCACTTTCGGAAGCTGTAACTCAGCACACCCAAGTCCTCGGTTTTGTCTACAGTGTGTCTCTTTTTTTCCTTCCCAACCGCCCTGTCCATAACAGTGCCAACACCCCGCCCGTTACCCAAAGCGGAAAATCATCCCTCACTTCATGTCACTCGGCTCCTCTTCGTAGAGACCCGATAACCAGTCAGGTTCTCTGGATCCCACCTCGTGTTTACGGCTTTCTGTCCGTGCCCGCGGACGCTGCCTGTGTCTCCACCGCAGGACTCCCGTGTGCAATAGCACACTCGCTGTCCAGCTGACCTCGGTTCTCCAAGTGACCTCCTGCTCCGTCCGCCCTGCACAGACCCTCCCGAACGGTCCTCCCAACACGCAGAGCGAACCGTGTGCTTTCCAGCTGGAAATTATCCGACGGCCCCTCGTCGTCTCGAGGACATTAAAACGTTCTCCCGGGACACGTGAGGTCTTCCTCAACCATGTGTCACCCACCTCTGTGAGCTGCGTTTCTTCTCATGCCTCGTTGACCGATCTGCTCGCGATTCCCTGAATGCGCGGTTCCCTTGGCGACTTTTCTACGCTACTTCTTTTTCTGGGATGGTTTCTGCTGTGTTCTCCATCCACAAGCCTCTCAAAGCCCCTTTGGATCAGATCGTCTGCATTAGAAACCTCCCCACCCCAGTCTCTCTTCTCTATTGAAATCAGTTGTGTCCTTCAGTATCGAAAGGTTGCAAAACCATTCTGGGGTGCAACGATTATTCCGATCCCGGGGACAGTCTATATTTACAAATGTAGGTTTGTTCGCTGGTATGCGTGGCCGGGGAAGGTTTATTCCAGGCAAATAAATAAAATCCTTGTAATACTTTTCGGATAAAAGCGAAACTTGGATCCTTTACATTCTAGTCCCTTCCCCCGTGCTCTTGCTAGTGTAAACACAAAGATATGTTTACCCTGAAATATTTTATCAGCGGTTTTTCTAGTCAGTGAAACCACCAAGGGAATTAGCTAAGACATAAAGCAACTTTTAACACGTCAACAGCGATGGGCAGGAAGAGAGTTTGGGGGGTGGTGGGTGTTGGGGGTGGGAATGATAGGCAGCTAGAGATCATCATGTTTTAGAGAACATTCAATTCACTGAGGTTACAGGCACCTCGCAACTTCCTGACTGGAGCCAAATTGATGACATTTCATATTGAGAAACTTCCGTCCCGAGCACAAGTTCTGAGAAAAATGAGGTGAAGAAATTTTAGGTGCCCCTCCCGTTTCGCCCAGTCCCCCGCTCCCATCCCCAGCCGTGGGCAAAGGAAATCGTGTGACTCATCAGCCTGCAGACTTCACATACCCCTCCCCAAAGTGGGAAGTCATGTAAAACTCGGTAAAAGTTGAGCACAAAGTGAACCGTTACTAAATATAGGCCAAAGGAGAACAGTCTGTCAATAATGTGACCAGCTTTTGGGGGCTATCGAAAGGAGACCGAGGTAAAGCCTCACACTCCGTACGTATCACAGAGTTCATCTGATCATACCCAGTTGTGCCCGAACACATCGATTGGAGGTGCTGGTTTGAGGTCGGTGTGATTTGGGGCAGGACACTTGTGCTTGGAGCTAATTTCCCCCTCTACAAGGTGTAAACAATTATAGTCCTAGTCATTCATATCACTGAGCTGATGAAACGAGATGATGTTTAATGCGTGCTGGGCGTGCGCGACACCTGGTACGTGGACACAAAATGCACGCGCACGCCTGCTGCCGCAGCAAGGTGGTGGATGCGTGGTACTTTTACTTATTTTATTTTATTTGTTTTTATCCTCACCCGAAGACATTTTTGCATTTATCTTCAGATAGAGGAGGAAGGAGAGAGGGGGGAAGAGAGAGAGAGAAACATCGACGTGAGAGAGACACACCGAGTGGTTGCCACCCACACGCCCCAACCAGGGCCGGGGACAAACTGCAACCGAGGTACATGCCCTTAGCGGGAACTGAACCCGGGTCTCTCTGGACCGCAGGCCGATGCTCTAACCGCTGAGCCACACCGGCCAGGGCGACTTGCAGTACTTTAAAATGTTTCGGACACACGTGGCCTGAGGGCCTGGTCTCTGCCCAGCAACCGGAAGCTGACGTAACAGAACTTTGCAGACAAACGAGCGTCGTCAGCACAGAGAATTGCTTTGTTCAGTCCTGATGGTGTAGGAAGAGGTTGCATCTGCTTTGACTCCTCATCCCTGGCCCAGAACAGGAATAACCATGTGTGAAGACTGAATGGTGGAATAAATAAATAAATGCCTATATGGATGGATGAATAAATGAATCAAAGATGTGGGTGTGTTCCTGCTCCCGCCGTACCCTGGGCCCTGGTCTTGACCTCGGGGTGGCCGCTGGTAGTGCTGTTGCCAACAGAGGAACCCTTAGGAAGGCGCTTACACATGTACGCGAAGTGTAAACAGACATTTACAGCTCTACTGAGCCGATGGGCATCTAGGCAGAGGACCTGCCGGGAAACCGAAGGTCAGAGGCAGCCACCGGGGGAAGGGACTTCTCACGACCTCCCCCTTTCTTGTCCATGCAAAGGCTCACGCGGATCCGCAGCAGGGTCTCCGTGACGGATGTCACCAATTAAGAAGCCATGAGGGAAGAATTAAAAAAAATGACATTAGTAAATTCAGAGATCTCTTTTGACTTCCTGGGGCCCCCGGAGGGGCTGAGGGCAGAGCCCCATTTCTCCGCAGGGGAGAGTTCTTGGGCGAGCGGCCAAGGGAGTGGGCAGAAATCACTTTATGTGCAGACCAGGGCGGGGTGGAAGGCAGTTCTGCATCCTCGGTCGGCATAAATTATACATGTTTGCAATGATCCGCTCCTTCTCCTCTTTATATCCATCTGTCACGTAAACGGTCGTCTATTTCCGAAGCTCCGTCATGATGCACAGCTCAGAAATAGCAGAGAATCAGTAAAGGGGAGCAGATGGAAGTCCCCCTCCCCTCCAGTATGCATATTCATAAAAAAGTAGCGAGCTCCACAAGAGGAGACGCAGAAGCACTTGGACCCGGGGCTGCGTGAACTGATGCAGTGGTTTGTCGGTTTTCTGCAGCTGTTTGTTTGTGACATCATCACGCAGTCGTTCCTGCAGCGACCGGTAAAGATGCTCCGGAAATAATCCGTCTTTCTGGATGACAACAACTGTATCTCCACTGGATTCGGGAAGTAAGAGCTCAATCTTTTACAAGGGAAATATGGTTAGAAGACTTCACTGTGCCTTAGCCATATAGACTAGAAACATTGAAAAGTGCACTGGTATACTGAAAAAAAAAAAAAAAAAAACTGTATAGGGAAATAATGAACTGTCTGGGTGGCAGAGAGCTATGTATGTTCATTTGTTTTTTAATTTTTTTTCCTTTATTGATGTCAG